TAATTTTCTGAAAATCAAGATTTTTCCATATTTTAAATAAGGCATGCATAGCCTTTTCACTCAGTTGCTGAGTCGCAACCGAAAATTTAGTGCTAGGAGTCAGTTTTAGACAGGTAAGTGTATTCGTTTGTGATATCAATATGTTTATCTCCCAAGAAAAAGTTGTGTGTTTGTAGTTTAGAGTTATGTTTTTGTAGAATCATAATTTGGGTTTTTTCAAATTAATATTCATTAGCCATTTTTTGCTCCATTCATTGAGGATTTGAGGGAGTCTAAGCAATTTTGGAGACCAGATTTTGATCTTGATAGTATGACAAGATCATCCGCATATAGTAGACTACTTAGTCTCGTTCCATTTGGTAAAGAAATGGGTCTGGGTTTACTTTTTCAAACAGATTAGGAAGTTCGTTTATGTATAGATTAAAGAGAAGGGGACTTAAAACACAACCTTGGCCTACACCTCGATTGTAGGAGAAGAATGGTGTTCTATGACCCGATACTTTCACTGCACACCGAGTATTAGAATACAGATCTTTTATCAGATCATAGAAGCATCCTCCAATTCCATTTTCTAATAGTTTCAAATAAAGACCTTCATGCCAGACAGAATCAAAGGCCTTTTTGAAATCAATAAAGCATGCGTAAATTTTCTCATTATTTTGATTAACATATTTATCATGTAACGTTTTTAAGGTAAGAATATGATTGGCTGTTCTGTTATTTGGTAGGAAACTAATTTGGGAAGGGTGTAACAATTCTTTAGTTTTTGAAAAGTTCATCAGTCTTTCATTGAGGACAGAGCAGAAGAACTTTCCTAACGAGCTTGATACACATATTCCTCAGTAATTACTTGGGTCTAATTTGTTCCCTGATTTAAAAATTGGTGAGATAAGTCCTTCACACCATAAAGTTGGGAACTTTCCGGATTTCATTATTGTGCTGAATACTTTTATAAAACCATTGGCAAGGATATCAACACTATATTTTATCATTTCATTGTTGATTTTATCCTGAGTGTGCAGCTTTTTTAGATTTTATTTTCATTTTATTTTCTTAGCTGTTTTTATTATTTCTTCAATTGTTATTTCCATATCAAGCTCATTGAGGAGATTTTTCGAATTTTCCTTTTGTTTCAATTTTCCGATAATTTTTTCTTGTTCTTCACCAAGATGGTGATCACAATGTAGTTGTTCAAAATGTGAGTACCATTCATGATTTTTTGGTGAGTTTTCAGAATTAGTTTCAGTATTAAGGTCGTCTGTCAAGTTCTTTAGTCAAGTTCTGTTTGTAGTTCATTCATCTTTTTGTTGTGAAATTCACTTTGTTTCAGCTGTAGGGTTACCTTATATGATTTCAAGGCATCATGGTAGTTTTTTCTAAGTTCAACATTTGTAGGATCTCTATGCTTTAAATTAGATAATTTCCTTAAATCATGTCGTTTGATTCTACAGTCTTTATCAAACCATATCTTTTGAGCAATGTTAGTGATTTTTCTTCTTCGTTTGCACTTTTTAATTTTCAAACTTTTTTTCGATGTTTCGAGTAAGATGTTTTGGAATTCGGTTACACATTGGTTTGCTCCGTTCAAATCATTTGTGAAATCTGAGTTCATAAATTCATTCAATTTCTTTTGCATTTCTTGTGATCTTAATGATTCTCTAAAGTTATTTTTAGAGTGGTTATCCCAAATGTATTGGTTTGGTAATTTAGTCATTTCAATATTACATTTTGTTTATATAATAAACAATCATTTTTGAGTTTTTGTTTATATAGTAAATAATCACTTTTGAATTTTGTTTATATAATAAATAATCACTTTTGGATTGTGTTTATATAGTAAATAATCACTTTTGGATTTTGTTTATATAATAAATAATCACTTTTGGATTGTGTTTATATAGTAAATAATCACTTCCACATTTTCTGTTTATTTGCTTAATAATCATTTTACTGTTCAATTTTGTAATAAATAATTTAAATTATCAGTTATAATGTATACTTCGTTGTTGCCACTGTTATAAATAAATTGTCTCACTTATCAAATCGTGTGTGCAATCCTTGTTGGCGGCAGAAAGTACGAAATTTATTTCAGTTATTCCATTTGGTATAAAAGAACTCTACAAAAGAAGAGAGCGTTCAGAATCCAGATCTCGGTCCAGATCGTTTCGTTTCAAACGGCAATTTAATACCGTCTTCTGTTTCGCTCACTCAACGAAGCCTTGTAAATCGCAAAGTGTTTCGAATAGGCTTACATGCAACTGCATCTCAACATCAACCAAAAGATAATTTTCTTGAGGAACATATAATGTATCAAGTCTGTTTGAAATTAATGAAACTCAAGTAAAGGTTACTATAGTTTACCCCAGTCGTAATGTTGCTATTCCAACACTTCACGACAAGTAATTCCCATTGCATGGCATAACGGCAAAAACATCTCTTCCTTCAGGTAAACAATAAACAGTATGTTCTTGTTCCATTTATAATCGAAAAAAGTGATCAATTTTCGAATTTTAAGCTTATCGAGAGCCTTTGTGGTGAATCACTGACCTAATTATAGAATCCAACAGCAAACAGCCAATCAGAATGCCGCGTTCGTGGGCGAACGCGGAAAGTACAAAATACCGGGCCTTGCTTGCAGGCCCACTATCAGTTCCCTTGGGCCTGCACGTGGGCTAAATTAGTATAGGTAATCGCATGGGGCCGAGTAAAATTAAGGTTTTGATTTCAGTTGTGTTTTCAAAGTTTTACAAATTGCCAATTTGTGATCTTAATTTCACGAGGAACTATGCGATTTAAATACTCCAACCAATAAATTTGTACTTTTTCTAGTGTTCAAGTTTTCACTGGACGTTTTTAATTCTTCAATAACATTTTATAAAAGAAACTTCCGGCGCTTGCGTCTCAGCCAATCAGGTACAAGTAATTTTGCCCTAAATTAAGAAAAAATGCCCTCCTCATTGGCCAATCATGTTTGAGTAATTTTTTGCACTACATGATTATTATGATTATGGCGGTCATTTATCGAAAAAAATTATAGTAATTATAGTATTTTTACACCCGCCATTTTGCTTCACATAATATAGATTCTTGATAGAGTCATGTTGCTTAGTGTTAGAGGTGCGCGAATCCGATCCGTCGGACAATAATTCACTCGGATCGGAGGTTTTTTTTTGTTGAATCGGATCGGATTTTTTCTTGTATTGCGTCGAATTACTCGAATATATTTTTAACAAATTCTATGTGGCAGGAAGTGCCTAGAAGGCTTTGGAGCCGAGTGATTTGCTGGAAGTTCATTAATTCCAGTATATCGTTTATCGGATCATGAAAAAATACGTTCGTACACCGAATATTTATAATGCGCGCTGTATCAAATAATAACTTAAGTTTGGACAGGGGCGTAGGAAGCATGATGTAACACTGATGTAACGTTTCTGCATTATTCATTTAGATTTTAGAAAGCTACAGAGAAAAAAGAAGGACAGGGAACCAATAGTGAACAAGAAACTCAAGGTAAAATGGAGAAGTTATATACATAGTAGTTTTGTTTGTGGAAACACCACGTAAATTTATTACTGCAAAAAAATACGAAACCTACCTTTACATGGTGTTTCCACAAACAAAACTATTATATATTTCATCGCCATGCATTATTTTATCGCCATTGCGATTATTGATGAAACTTTCGTTTCCCCGGGTGTAAATAGCCGGGGGGAATTAGTACCCTCGCACGGCGCTTCGCGCTGTCGGCTCGGGGAAAATTTGTGCGGTTACAAATAGACATTGTCCAGGGAAAATGTATTAAATTTTGGTCAAATTTGGATGAAAATTAAATTTGCAAACGTTTGTGTTTCTCTATAAAGTAAACTAAATACGTATATAATTATCAACTCATTGTATAATTTATGTATGTACATAACTTAATTCGCTGGCGAAGGTATGCAGTCTCCGATTCCCTCTAGTTCCAAATTCAATTATTTTACCTGTCTTTTCCTTTAATCGGTCACATAAGATGGCCATATGTAGTTTATGTATTATGATAATATGTTTGCTAAATCATCATCCTTAACTTAATCTCCATTTATTATTTTTTTCAGCAACTTCGACAAGAAAATACCAACAAAAACAATGAAATTCAACAACAACTTGTGAAACCCTCAACAAGATTATTAACAAATTAAATTCTGCAGCTTCGAGAAGAAAACATCAACATAAATAGAGAAAAGCAGCTGCAAGTTCAACAAGAAAACAATAATCTGAAACAATAATCTGAAACAATAATCAGCAACTTCAAAAACTGCAATACAAGAAAACTTTACAAAAAAGCAAAAGGAGGAATGAAATTTATGTTAGCTGACAAGAAAACGTCAACAAGAACATACAAAATCAGCAACTTGTCAATCAACAAAAAATCGTTAAAACAAATAATGAAATTCAGAGACTTCGAGGAAAAAAACCTCAACATATTACTAACGAGATTCATCAACTTCGACGAGAAAACGCCAACATGAGCAGAAGAAACCAGAAAGTTCAAAAGGAAAACAATAACCTGAGAATTGAAATCGGGCAACATAAAGAAGATACTATATTCAGCTTCTACGAAGGAAGGAGATCAGTCAGTGTTGTTTTTCATTGTATGCATGCTTTTTACATTTATTACTTCGGCTATACGTATAATACGTATATGAAGTATAGGTTTCCCAATGTTTCGGCATTTTTTGTAGTATTATTTTTTCGTGGAGAATTGGCTTTACTTCCAGAATGCTCTGCGTCACTGTTCTGTGTCACTGTATCTTTATATGAAACGAAAAGAAAAAAATATTGCGGGCATGCATGGCAACTCAATGTATTGGCACTTGCATGTGCACCATTGTACAAACCGAACCGAAAAACAGAAAATTAGGCCCAATATGTTTAATGTAATGACTCAGTTTTTAATAGAATGATCCAGTTATTCGGCATAACAATCCATTCCATGCATGCCATGCAGGTATCGCTTGAGCAGGCCTATCTCAGTTGTTGCTGTTAAATTTAACCGCCAAACAGGGTCAAACATCGCATGTTAACACTTGGACTATAACAGGGTTAAATTGTACTTAACACATTGGCAATTGCTGTGTCAGGCTGTGTAGTGTAAATGCCTCACGAATCCTGTTCACTATAATTCCCTCTGCAATAGTGCTTTGCGAACCAATTGAAGTTATGCAAATATTCCGAAAAATAGCAGGAGACAAAATAACTTAACACTCCTCTTTTATTGTTCATATCTCAGATCCTTAGAAATTAGGTTGCATTTCTAAGTATTGGTTATCATGCGACGTGAAGAGTTTCTACAGTTAGTAATACTCAAACTTTTTATTGGAATTTTTAGTCAGGTATGTTTTAGCCTGCATGGCAGGCGGTACTTAGGAAATACCGCCTGCCGCAAAACTGGGTGTAAATGAACTACCGCCCCTGAAGCATCAACGCTATTTAGAGATGCATTAATTAAGTAAATATTCAAAATTAGCCACTCCCAAGCTGCTCCCAAGTCCCAACAACCTCGTACCCAGGCTTTTTGCTCTTGGGAAGCAAAGACCCTGGTCGGAGCTGGTCACGTAACATATAAAAAATAGATTGCCTTAGGGGGTGTGGGGAAAGTATCATGTTACATTCGTTAGCCTGTTCGCAGGCTACCGTCGTAATTTTATCATTCCGCCATGTTGGCCTACACATTAAAAACCTTTTTAATTTGCTTAGAGTTTGCTGTTTTAAATAGCTTATACAAAGAGACTATATTAAAACCAAAGCAAGTTCTTTGCCTGGAGAATGTATATTTACAGAAAGATGTGATATGTGTTTTGCCGACTGGCTATGGGAAGTCTTTGATTTTCCAACTGCTACCAATGTTGTTGTTCGCAAATTGTATTGTTGAATGGTTAGTATCACATTTCCTCTATAAGCAATCAATCATTTACAATCAACTCCAAGCAGTTTTAATATACAATATTTATATTTTATTTTGTTGATAAGTGATTTTGTTCTCGTAGAGAATATTATATTCTCCATGTTTACATGTAGTTAATATAGTGCATTGTCTAGTGTGGTCGCTGGTCAATTCAATATTAAAACTATATATTTGTATCCTATTATTCGTTCACCTATTATGCCCTGTATTTTGTTACATGTGTATACATGTAGTTGCTGCCTTACTGAGTAATTCAGTATTATTGTATCATATACTTACCTTCTATTTTGTTTTAACTGTTGCAGGAGTACCGACTTCAGAAAAGATTATGGTAAATTAGGAGTGCTGTGTGCACTTTTTCCTGATGTTCCCTGTCTTGCTATGACCGCTACA